CAGATCCTTCTGGCTCTACAGCAAATGCATCCTGTGCTGTCTGTTAGCTGTAGCCCCCAGGGCAAGTTACCCAGCCTCCCCGAGTGCCAAGGTCATCCTCTCTAAAACGTAGGGAGTGAAATCTTCCTTACAAAGTCTTTGTGGGAAGTAAGTGAGACGAAGTGTACATAGCGTTCAACATACAATAGGTGCACCCTAAATGTTAGTTCCATTGTCAAGTACAATGTTACTTAAATACAAGACCAAGAAGGTAAGTAAGATATTGAGCTCTGGTTGGTTTGGGCAGTATACAAATAGAGGGTAGATAACCTTCACTTTAGATGCCAGCAGAAAACAATTTCATGCAGAGAGCTCGCCAGACGAAACTCTAAGGGACTCTAGAGATGTGGGCAAAGTTAAGCAAACTAATAAGAGCCATGGGGGCACCCAGAGACCAGCAACAACAAAAAGTCATTTCCACGCCCAGGACTGATGGTACAAGCAGGTAGACTGTTACAATGCTTACATATTTAGGTGTATTAGAAATATGTGCTCTCCCATTTTATGTTGGTTCTTATGCCTTATATTACCAGACTTTCTTCCTACAGGCTCTACTCACTTCCAATTCAGTGCCACATCCCTCTACTGGTTTTACTACTATCCAGTCCCCAGCTTGACCCTAGATCTTCATAAGTAGGGTAGCACACAAGCAGGGCACATGCTCACTGAGACACTCAGTTAACCACCCACCTCCAAAAGCCCTCTTCTGGATGAAGAGAATGTGAACCATACGGGCATCTATTTCACAAGCTCTTTAAGAAAATCCTCCAAGTTTTCTCAATGAGAAAACCCAATCGAAATGCTTAAAACTGTGCCTGGCTCATAGCAAGTGCTACTGAAAATCGAGCATGTTTCTTCCTATTACCTTCCCAGCACCACATTTACCAAGCTTCCTGCACCTACTCATGTGCCCAGGTCCCCTCCTGTCATCAGAGATGTGAGAGCTACAGCCTTGTTCTGAGGGCAACCCCACCCACCGCCCACTTGGGCTCGTCTCTGCGTTTCAAGGGTTCAGCGCTTACAACTACACCTTCTTCCTTGCAGACTCAATTTCTCTTTCTCCATTGGAGGGGTTCACAGCTGTGCAAATATCCCCCAGTATGTCCCATCTTTTAAACTCATTCCTTATTCACATGTGAGGAAGATGGCTTTTTCGAATCCATGGGAAAAACAGAGACTACTGAACAAATCTGACATTTGGGGAGCCATGAGAAAGAGGTAAAATTGGATCCACACCTCAGGCTTCACAACAGATGAGTAGTGTATAGAAACATGGCAAACAAAACCATAAAGCATCCCCCCGAGTGGGAGAATTAAAACAATTATCAGAGTGGAAAAGCCTTTTCTAACACAGAACAATAAAAAAAAGAGTGAGAAATTTAAAAACATAGAAATAAAACATTTTTGGGCAAAGCAAAAGGCACCCTGCTATTATTCGAATGGCTTTATTCTGCTCAAACACTGGTGTCCTCTGGGGTTGGCCGAAAACCCCCTCTCCTGGCCGTACTCCAAACCCAACGGCTCCTCAAAAACACTGCCCCAAATGCTTGTGAATGAAATTCTTCCTACGGAGATCCATACTTCTCCTTTCAGTCTGACACAAAACGCCTCTGCGGGGCGTCATCCATAAAGCCGGTTTCCCATTGTTCTACTCTAAGAGGCAGAAGGAGGCTGGCCGTGATCTGCGCTCAGTGAGGGCATCTGCCAGCGGTCAGGAAGGACCCGTCCAGAAGGGCCTGGCAAGATCGCATAGCTACCAAGTTCCACAGCTTCCAGCCGTGCCATCCCGCGACTTCTGCTGAAACCTCTTCAATGCGCCCACCACTCTCCATTCTCTTTGCCGAAAAAAGAAAAGAGAGAATTGAATCAGAGCAGTTCAGGCCACCACCGTCTTTTGCCAGCCTCCGGTCTTGCCCCTGTGGCATCCCAAAATGTCTCCCTGCAGAGCGGTCCCTTCAAAGAGGAATCTGATCAAGTCACCTGAACCATCTCCCGCAGGGTTTAAATGCTTTCAAATGACCTTCATTGACTTTATTTTTCTGTTTATTTTTATTGTAGTTTTCCCATTACCATTTATCCCCTCTATACCCTCTTCCACCTCCACCCTTCTCTCACTCCTCCTCCCTATCACCACACTGTTGTGCTTGTGGATGAACTCTTTTATCTCTTTTTTCTTTTTTTGCTCGATCCCTGCCTGCCAAGACCTTCCCCTCCGCCCACGACAGACTCGAAGATAAGCTTAAAACTTTAGAGACAAATAGGATCCTTCAAGATCAGGTTCACCTCTCTCCTGTATCTCTCCCCACTGGCACCCAAAAGTAACCCTAACATCTGCAATTTCCTAAACAGACCTCTCCTGCTGGAAACGACAGTCATTTCCCCCTTGTGGTGGTGGCCAGCTAACTGCTTCTGGTCATTCACCTCGCAACTGCCATGTCATCTGCTGGGGTGGGGGAGCTCCCCCCACCCCCGCCCCGGTAAGTGCTATAAATAAGGTCCTCAACATTCACCCTACTTTAACAGTTTCACAGCGTATTCTAATTGATTGTTCAGCTCCACATTCCCTACGCTTCCATCGCCACCTACCCTCACCCCAAGACTAGGTTTCTTGAGGTTAGGGAATCTCCTAGTACCTGTTACAGCTCAGCATCTAGAACACCGGCAGGCCTGTAATATGCGTTCAACAAATATTCATTGAACAGGTGAATGAACAAGGAAAATGATGGTTAAGAATTAAACCTATTTGTAGTTCCCCATTGTTTTAATAATTAAGATTTCTGCACAATAAATACCATACAATAAGATACAAATTTACAAACAACAGATTTAAAGATATAGATGTCAAATAAAGTTGAAAGAGCATATTTAAATTTTATAGAAAAATCACTGAGGCTCTAAAAGAGAAACCATTCCCCTCAAAAGGAAATAATCTCAAGTTTCTCATCCTTCTGATCTAATCCAATGTTAGATGATAAAAAATCAAATGTGGTATCATGTCTACTTTTCACAATGGGCTTGATCTCTCTCTCACGCATCACCAAGAATCAGGTTTGGAGTGTGCAGGAGGAGAAAAAAAAAAGAGTAAGGGATGAGGAAGGCACAAGCCAGATTATAGAGGGCTCTTATGTTATCCCCAGGAATTTGGAACCAGAACCATGGGAAAAAAATAAAACCTGAAAGATGACATGATCATTTTGGCAGCTGTTTCGGCGAAATGATTCCATCACTAATGTGGAGGACATAGAGAGTGTGGAGAAATAAAGGTCCAAGGACCACTTAGAAGCCTCTAGCAGTCATTTAGATTTTAAGCGTGTGCGAAGACAAGAAAAAGAGAAATTGTTTTCTGGCTTTCTAGTTTGAGAACCTAGATGTACAGAGAAGCCGCTGGCCGAGGCAAGATTGCCTAGTGATGTCAAACCTGGTCACGGGGCTTGTCTTTGCTTCCAGATTTCACTTTTGCACTGTGGGACTTTGATTGAACTCCCTTAACTTCACTTATAAAGTGGAAACAATGGTAATAGCTCTTTCTACAGTTGTCCTGAGGATTAATTAAGAAAATGCATCTGATTGAAAAGCACTGAAACAATGCCTGGTATTTAGTAAACTTTTTAAAACCTTGGCTGGTATTCTCACTATGCAAGAGAAAAGAAGAAGCTGGGGGAGGAGATGATCTGTTTAGGGCACTTTGGGTTTCAGATATTATTTGCCTGGGGGATCTGCCAAGAAAGATGTCCGGGAAGCTGTTTGCTATCTGGGGCTAGCTCAGGAGAGCTGTGGAGTGAAGATTCTGACTTAGGAGTTCTCAGTCTGTGGTTGAAGGTGTGAGGGATGAGAATTACTGAGGAAAGACTGTGGAATCAATCATTTGGCAAGGGGAGTGGAGTCCAGGAAAGGGACCTGGGACTGGGGTCCCCTAGAATTGAGGTCAAGGAATCAACCACATAGAGTGTTTTTCAGAATCCCATTCCCTTGGACTTTGAATCTGCCTAGAATGATGGTGCCCTGAAACAAAGAGCCTAAAGCTAAGTGCTACAGCCAATAACTCAACAAAAGGGAAAAAAATGCCCACGGGTGTTTCTTCACCAGATGCAGATCAAGAGGTGGCAGTGGGGAACCAGAGTCCACTCTGGAACCAGACCCTTCTGTTAGCACAGGCTTTACACAGGCTGCAGAGCAATCAACTGAGTAAGATTCTTTTTCTCTTTTTTATTGAATGTACTGGGGTGACAGTAGCTTAAAAATCATGTAAGTTTCAGGTGTACAATTCCATAACACATCATCTGCATATTGCATTGTGTGTTCACCGCTTCAAGTCAAGTGCCTGGGTGATAGTCTCATCCTGAGAATTTTCTGATTAACATGATTACATCCCATCCTTTGCATCTTCTTTTAAAAAAATTAAATTTATTTTTAGAGAGGAGGGATGAAAGAGAGAAAAAGAGGGAAAGATGATGTAAGAGAGAAACATCCAAGGGCTGCCTCTCGCACGCATGTGCCCTGACGCTGCATCGAATAGGCAACATTTTGCTCCACAGAACTATCCTCACCGGAGGACGTTTTTTCATTGCTTTTAGAGAGGGAGACAGGGAGAGACAGAAACATCAATGCAAGAAACAAGAATCCTCCAGTAGGAACCAGACGATGATGAACCCGCAACCTAGGTGTGTCCCAACCGGGGATCAAACCCATAACCTTTTGATTATGGGACAACCCTCCAATGAACTGAGCCACACTTGAGCACAAACCTGTTTTTAATTAATTGATATTTAAAATTCCTAACTTTATTTCTGGGTTCCAAAAAAAAGGAGAATTTTGAGACATTCCCTAAGGAGGCGATTCGTTTTAGGATCTCCTAAAACACACCTCTCACTCCCTTTCTCCTCCCTCTTCCCCCCCCCCTTGAAATCTCGTTCTTTGGCTTGAAATCTCGCGAGACATTGAGTTCTCTTGCATTCTCCCAGGAGCCTTTGCTCTTCCTCTTCCCGAAAGCGACCAGAGGTGAGTACATTTTCCGCGGCTCTCAGAGTGTGGAATCCTCCGGTCATCGCCTCCATCCTGGTTTCGAGGGCACCGATCTCGAGGCTCCTGGGAGGGAAAGTCTTGCAGTTATTGATTTCTTGCTGAAGGCGGTGTACCCTTGTGCGGGGGGACGTGTCAGAGTGCCCGAGTCGGCGTCCCGTGGCCTGCTGCCCGAAAAGGGGAGCGATGGGCGGAAATGGGGACTCTGGGCATACGGACAGCCCGTGGTCTGTGCCGCTTCCTAATCTGGAAGTCCAGTGCCCCGCGGTGAGTGGTGGTCGAATATGCAGCGTGTTTGTGACCTCAGAGATAATGGCAGGGGAGTGCGGGATAAAGTCGGGTCGAGCCTTGACTCATTTTGCGAGGAGTTTCAAATTAGCTAGCGTTGAACGTTGGTTAGAGCACAGACGTGTGCAAAGACAGCATTACTTGTGAAGTTGCGTGAGTAAAGGGGGCTTCTGTGGGAAGGGAGCACGTCCAGGGCTGTAATGGAGCCCCGCCACCGCAGTGCCCCGCGTCTTTCTACGCCTGGAGGACCCGGGGTTGCATCGAAACAGGTCTATTCCCATCCGAAGCGTAAGAGGGGGTCGATGAAGTCCGTGTCGCTTAGTCTGGTGTTGTCGGGTCGGTGCACAGGGAAAGAGCGCTGCATGGAGGAAAGGATGGCTGCTGCGATGATGGCATTTCTTAGGACACCTTTGGATTAATCATGAAAACAACTCCATTCTGAGCAGCTGCTGGCAGCACTTAATATAGAGTCGGACTGTAAGCTGCCGGTGTATCTGTATTGCCAGTGACTCCCTCTCCCTTCCAGGTGACCTCTAAAGATGGTTCGCTATTCACTTGACCCGGAGAACCCCACAAAATGTAAGTGAACAAGAGTAACATTTCTTATTTTGACCTAAGAGAAACAATGAAATAACCCAAATTAACCAAAACGTTTTGGTTTTTTTTAGCATGCAAATCAAGAGGTTCAAATCTTCGTGTTCATTTTAAGGTACGTGAATCATAGTTATGTTCTAAGTCATTTTGCTTGTTCCAGTGAGGTGGGGTTTTTTTGTTTTTAAAACTGCTAAAAATGGTGCTGCAGTGATGTCAATCTTAGGACACCTTTGGATTTACCGTGAAAATGACTTGATTCTGAGCAGCCACCCTCTAGACACTGAACATCCCTGTGCAGTGACCGCTGTGATGCAGGAGTTGGGGGGGGGGGGACGGGAGGGGCGGGAATTGGGTGAAAATACCAGAGCGCTACTCGAGAACCTAGGGTGCAGGTCAGTCTATGGGACCTGATTGTTGCTGGATGTGGTGGGATTAAAAATACCACCCTGAGTGAACAGAGGTTTTGGACTCATTGCTCCTGGGGGTCAAACCAAGCCTCCCTGGTCCTTAATTAACCAATTTTCTTCAGCTCCCATGAAAATGGAAAGGCTTTAGCTGTTGATAAATGTTGACACATTGAGAATCTGAGAGTTTAATGTTTACTTTACAAATTGTGGTGCTTTCACATGGTAACTGCCAGTTTATGTTTATCTTTAGAACACTCGTGAAACTGCCCAGGCCATCAAGGGTATGCATATTCGAAAAGCCACCAAGTATCTGAAAGATGTCACTTTAAAGAAGCAGTGTGTCCCATTCCGCCGATACAATGGTGGAGTGGGTAGGTGTGCCCAGGTGAGAATGAGGGGCTGCTATTTGAAAAGACGTGGTAAGGGAAAGTGGTTGGACAGTGAGTACGGCTGAGGTTAATCGAGCTACTGCTGGTTGCTGTGATGACCATCTTAGGACACCTTTGGATTAACCGTGAAAAGAACCACATTCTGAGCAACCTTGAAGTGAACAAAACAATTTTTAAATATATTTATTTATTTTTATAGGGGGAGAGAAAAATCAGTGTGTGGTTGCCTTGCACATCCCCTACTGGGGGCCTGGCCTGCAACCCAGGCATGTGTCCTGACTGGGAATTGAATCGGCAACCCTTTGGTTTGCAAGTCGGCACTCAATCCACTGAGCCACACCAGCCAGGGCCAAAACAATGTTTTCCATTTTCGAGGGTACATTTATTAAAGCTGGGGACAGTGAAATGAGCTTAGAACAGAAGAAGCAATGGGAGAGCCAAGGCAGGCCTGCTGTGGCTCTTTGAAAAGTCAGGAAAGGGGGCCTTGGAGACAGGTTTGGGGGATTAGCCTGAGGAGCTGCTGCAGCCCATGGCTCCCCTGGTTGCAAGTCTCATGGGGTCCCTTAGAGTTGAAGACATGTACCTGTGGGGGAGATGGGAGGGGAGGGAAAGGTAAGGACATGATCCCAGGAAGGAGCGTGCCCCATAAATTAATCTTGATCATAACATTTTATTTAAATTGGGAAATGACTAATAGCCTCTATTTTCTTTCAGGCCAAACAGTGGGGCTGGACACAGGGTCGGTGGCCCAAAAAGAGTGCTGAATTTTTGCTGCACATGCTTAAAAATGCAGAGAGTAACGCTGAACTTAAGGTACCCAGACATTGAGGTCTATATGTATCCAGCTTGGATGGTGGTTCAGCCACTGTTGCCCTTGTCCAGATTTATTATACAAACAGTAAAACACTATTGCAAAGGAGCAAATATAGTTACCAAAATGGTTGCCTTAGTAATGGTTAATGTGGTTTGTTGCCCACATTCTTAGTGGAGACACATGTTAAATTCCACTTAGAAGTTAACTGATAACAACAAAACAGGTTTATCCCGCATGGGTCTCTAGCTGTAACCCTTTTAGCTGCTAGGCCATGCTGACAGAATCTTGTTTATCATCTAAGTCTAGAAATCAACACTGCTCTTAAAATGATCTTTAACACGCACTTGGCACTGAGTTTTGGTAGTTACTTGGGTTTAATTTAAGGAAGGATGATTAGAACAAAGTTGACAAGACTGCTCGAACAGATATGCTATTTGATCTCTTAAGGCTTGCCATTCCGAAATGAGTTCATTGAGGCAGGGACCTCATTTTCCAGTGATGGCATTAAGACAAGTGCTTAATGTGCTCCCTCTCCCTTCTCCTCCCTTCTCTCAGGGTTTAGATGTGGATTCTCTGGTCATTGAGCACATCCAGGTGAACAAAGCTCCCAAGATGCGGCGCAGAACGTACCGCGCTCACGGGAGGATCAACCCGTACATGAGCTCCCCCTGCCACATTGAGATGATCCTCACCGAGAAGGAGCAGATTGTTCCCAAACCGGAGGAGGAAGTTGCACAGAAGAAAAAGGTAAAGTGCTTAGTCTTTGCTCCTCTGCAGTCGGGTGAAGTAGATTTGCGGTTGCTGTGATGACCAACTTAGGACACCTTTGGATTAACCGTGAAAGGAAATTATTCTGAGCAACCAGCAGCCTTGTATTTTATTCAGGCTTTCGTGGGTCTTCATTTCTTGACTAACAGTGAATAACTGTGTAAACACTATTCAGTATATGGGAACTGTGATTGTCTAGTGATAGCCTTGCCTTGGAGTCCACAGCCACTTTGAATGCAGCATGTTCAGAAATAACCCTCCTTAATCTACTAAGCCTATTTCCAGTAAGTGACAATTCAGTGTTTTATTTTGTTGTTGCTTTGTTTTTAAGAAATACCTTATTTTTCTGTGTATAATGTGTGCTTTTTGAGGGAAAATAAGAATGCACATTATATATGGATGGTACTGATTCTATATCTATATAAATGTTTTTAATTCTTTTATTTATGCTTATACATTAAATGCATATCTTTAGAAAGTAATATCGACATCCATATGCAAATTACATTAATATAAAGAACAAATATCTCAATAAAAATTGAATTAAGAAATTAAAATGGAAATTTTTTTTTTCTCGAAAGTTGGGGCCAAAAATGTGGGTGTGCATTATACATGGCAGAATATGGTAATTGCTTCATCACTTTAAGGTATAGGCTAGACCATGTACTGTGAAATGATTACCACAGTAGGTCCTCATAGACAGAGAAGAAAAGGAAAGCCCTGGCCCAGTGTGGCTCAGCTGGTTGGAGCATCATCCTGCACACCAAAAGGTTGCAGGTTTGATCCTGACTCGGGGTGTGAACAGGAGGTGGCCAACTGGTCTTAGCCTCTCTCCCCCCTTCCTCTCTTTGGAGACAATAAACATCCTTGGGTGAGGATTAAAGAAGAATAAAAGGGAGAAAATTAGGTCTTTGTGATAAGAACCCTGGATTTACTCCTACTAAACTTCCCATGTGTCATGCAGCATTGTTAGCTATTGTCACTTAAATATCCTCCATCCTTCCTGCTACTGGAATCCTTACCAGCTGGTGTCCCTGCCTTCATTGAACTTCAGCTGAAACTCAATCCCTGATCACTATGCCAAAGAACTCTACCTCTGTTGGGGTCGTCAATTCTTTTCACTGAGCAAAGACCTACTCTTTTAGGTGTAATGTGGGTTTCTTTGGGAAACTTAGTCCTTTTTATTCTTTTCTTTCCTCAGATATCCCAGAAGAAGCTGAAGAAACAAAAGCTTATGGCCCGGGAGTAAATTCAGCATAAAGTAAACACCTAATAAAAGTAAAAGAATGTGTTGGTTGTCTTTATTACTAAATATATTTCAAATGATCACTCATTTTCTTCTGATTAGAATTAAAAACCATTTTCCATCTGTTACTTTTGGTTCATAAACATACTGTTTTGGATGTCTTGCTGTTTTGCACAAGACGGAATTAGAACACAGGGGAATTCTAAAATTTTTCAGTCACTTTATTGAGATTGAACACACCACAACATGCCACAGTCCAGTGGATCTTAGTAACAAGTATTGTTTTGTCACTAAGAACATTTTAATCACTGGAAGAGGAGTCTGTGACAGTGCTTAGCTGTCGTTCCCATCAGCCCTAGGGAACCACTCACCTGTAGATTGGCCTGTGCTGACACTTGAAGGAAGAAATCACAGTATGTGGCCTGTTGTCACTGGCTTTGACTTAGCCTACTGTATTTAGGGTTTATCTGGGTATTCGTGCTGCTTATTGGTGAATAATTTGTATCAATAGATTAGTTGAACATCAGGTTTTTTGTTTTTTTTTTAAGCCGTTACAAATAATGCTGCTGTGAGCCTTGACAAATTTTTGCAGGGGCATTTTCTCGAGTATAACCCAAGATAGGACTTGCTGGATCATAGTAACCAGATTTTTCAAAGCAGTTGTGCCACTTCGAATAAATACCATTAGTTCGGTGAGGGAAGCTTTCAGTTCACAGGCATAGCCATTTTTTTAAATGATTTATGCTGCTACAGTTGTCTCTCCCTTGGCCCTCATCCACCCAGCCGGTCCCTCACATTTCTCAAGCCAATAGCCAAATAAAGTTGACAATTATCCTGCTCCTGAATTTAACCCCATTTAGGAGAGGTTTAGGCACACCTGCATTTGAAAACGGCCCGGCCCTCCTGCAAGTGTACTGTCCACCCCTATGGCGGTGAAGCACAGGCGTTATTCCCTGGGTCATGTTTTGAGTTTTGTTCTAGTATTTGGGGACGGGAGGCGCACGAAGGCGCGGAGTAGTGCAGGTATCTGCCCTTCGGCTTGAACCTCACGCCGGGAGCGCCGAGTCCCCGCTCCTACGTCACAGTACGTCCTGTGTGTCGTCAGGGTGACGCAGCGCGCGCGTTTTGCGTTGCCCATTGGCTCCGCCGCGACACGTCCCTCCTCCGGAAGCACTGGCCTTTGCACTTGGGCTTGGTGGTTGCCGGTGAGTGGGGCCGGGTGGGCTCGGGCGGGTTCGGGCGTTAGGCCGGGGGTGTGGGGTGGGGGTGGGCTGTGGCCTTGGCGTTGTTAGGCTGCGGGCAGGCCCCGACCCGGCCGTGCTGACCGAGCCGGCCCGCCCGGTGGCGGCTGTCCTGCCCTGGGCCCCTCATGGCCCGCCTGCGCACTCTGGGGTACCCCCGCTTCGCCCTCCATCGCGCCCCTGTCGTCCGCCCTCCCTCACCCTTCGCCGCTCCCTGCGTTTGCGTCACTCATTCGCCTGGCTTCCGTTCTGCCGTTCCCTTTATCTCCGTTTATTCTCTTCTTGGCCTGAATTGTGGGTTTCTTCGCCCTTCGATTATCTTCATCACCATTCGCCCCCACTCTCCTGTCTTCTCAGTCGTGGTCTGTCTTCACTCAACCAGTCTCCGGTAAAATGATACGCTGGACTGGTTACCTAAAGGGAGGTGGCGTTCCGCACTCTGCCTGCCCCATTTCTGAGGGAGCCTCAGCCTTTTCCTCTCTATTCTATTGTATTGGACTAAGTCGAATGAAAGAAAATTCCTCTCCCACAATTTTAATCCGTTTCGCTTGCTTTGTCGTAGCACCGGAGAAATGGTTTGTAGAGATTAAGTAAAATGATAGTTTTATCAATTTATCATAGGCATCTTCTAGACCTTTCTAAGCCACAGTTTCCACATGCAGTAAAGTAAGTCATCGAAGAATCATTATGGAGATTAAGAAATGAAATACAGTATCATCATTTCCGAAGAGAGCTAAAAGTTTTTTCAAAAGCCACATTTATGACAAGACCGATTAGTACTATTTGTACTTGAGAGTTTATTTAAAACACAGTGCGTACAAAGTAACTTAAAACACAGCAATTACAAGTAGGTAAAAATGAATCTTTATGATGGAGGGGGATTGCCAGTCATTAGCGTAGACGAAGCGCTGCCAGTTAGTTGTTTTGGAGAATTAACATAATCATTGTGTTTTTTGGAAGGATAAGAGGCAAAAGCCTTGAGGTAGGAAACCAGACCCAGAATTCTGGTCTTAGCCTGCTATAGTTACTAGTTACCTTTTTGTGAACTTTGAACAGGCTTTTTTTTTTTTTAAGTAACAACACTTATGTAGCACTTAATACATACCGACACTCTTCTGCGCTCTGTACGCATATTAATTTATCTAATCCACATCCCTGTGAGGTAGGTACTCTTTATTGTCTACATTTTACACATGCGGGAATTAAGGCGCTGGTTAGATAATTTGCCCACGAACACCTTATAGAAAGTGGGGAGAGCAGGTCTCAAATCCAGGCAGCCGCGGTCCAGTCCGCTCGATTACTGTGCTTTGGTACCTCTAAGAATGCAACTCTAAACCAGACCACCTCTTAGGTCTCTGCAAATCAGATTCTAAATGTCTATACCCAAAAATAATGGTTCCTTGAAAAATGGTGAAAAAAGACTCACTGCTCACTTGGCTTTAAAATAGTTTGGTAAATTCTTGCCCTGGCTGGTGTGGCTCAGTGGATTGACCACCAACTTGAGAACCCAGAGGTCACTAGTTCTAGGGCACATGCCTGGGTTGTGGGCCACTGATCAATGTCTCTCCCTCTCTTTCTCCCTTCCCTTCTCTCTAAAAATAAATAATGTTTTTAAAAATATATTTTGGTAAATTCTTAAATTGCTATTTTAATTTGAATAAGAGACCTTTTTAAAGAATCCAGTTATGAATCCTTTGTAAAATAGCTGGTTGTTCATTGGTGTACATTTGGGTTTTCGTTTATAGCTCTTGCAATTCACTTCAGAGTCGTTAGCATTGGGTTGTCTGAGCTGTCATTTACCTGTATTGTGAGTAAGTTTAGGTTGCTGCAGTGCAGATGTGATGCCCACTTGCTTGTGGGTACATAATACTTCATTTACAAGATTTCGAAAATAAGAAATTTTAATATCCTGAATTACTAGCTTTATTCAGTGTTCTGAAGCTTCTTAGTTTTTCAAGCTACTCTAAGGGATTAAAAACTCATAAATCTCCCTGGCCAGTGTGGCTCAGTTGGTTGGAGTGTTGTCCTATAAACTGAAAGGTTGCCAGTTCGATTCCTGGTTGGGGCACATCCAGGTTGTGGTTTGGTCCTGTCAGAGGGCGTGCAAGAGGCACATCCGTGCTTCTCTCTCCCCCTTCCTTTCCTTCTCTGTAAAGTCAATAAGTGTGTCCTCGGGTGAGGATTAAAAGAAAAAAAAAAAACACCTTGTAAATTTAAGAAGGTTTTGATTTAATAGGATAGTATATTGTGGAAGTAGGATTTGTTCTTGTTTAAGAAATTGTTGATTTTGAGAAATTCCAAGGTGATTTCTAATTATCAGGAAAATTAGATACCTTAAGTTCTTGGAAATAATTTAATTATAATAATCATACTAAATAAAAATTTTTATTACATTGTATACCTTCTTTGCCATTAAAAAGAAAAGGCAGTTGTATCAAGGGAGAATTGCTGCGTGTAAAAGACCAGACCAGCCGCTTTGCAGCCTAGAGGTCTTCCAAAGTGGTAACTTAGTTTACTCTCACAAGATTTGCCCATTTGTAGGTTTGGCTAATCAGTACTGCCAGTCTTTGAAGGTGATTAGGCCATTATACTCACACCGAACTGGAGCGTGAGTCATAATTACCAAGTTTTTTAGCGCTTCGTGCCTTCCTTTGCTTTATGTGTAAGTTCAGATGGCAAGGGTACCCAACCTCACCTGGGTTTTGCATTAAATGAGTTGTACAGCCGTCCCTCAGTATCTTCAAGGGGTTGGCTCCAGGACACCCCGCCACCATCCCTCCCCCCACGCAAGTCCCCGGATGTTCCAGTCCCCTGTATAAAATGGTGTAGTATTTGTGAATAGATGGACGTATGCCTACACATCACTCCATTTGCATGGATTCAGCGAAGTGCTCTGTGCATGACAGATTCAAGTTTGGCCTTTTAGAATTTTTTTTCAAGTGTTTCTAATTTGGGGTTGGTTGACTCCATAGATCTAAAACCTGGGAATACAGAGGGCCAACCGTATATGCACAATGTTGGACTGCCTAGCACCTAGCAAATGTTGGTGGTGTCTTTCCTTTATTATTAAATTTATAGTTGGGAATAGTGATTGGAGATGTTTGGAGGCAGGAACCTCACTGTTATTTTCATGCCTACCACCTTTACCTTGCAGATAGCAGCATTTTTTAAAGATGATTGCTTTTAGCTAATAGTATGATCTCAGCTTTTCATTTGATGTAGAAATATTCCTTTCAAATATCTTAATCTAGGTAAGGTCCTCCAGTCATCAGTCTGTGGTGAACTAACTTGTTTTTCTTTGTGTCTTTCAGCAGTTCAGGAGCCCCCACCTGAGACAATGGTGTGCATCCCCTGTATCGTCATTCCGGTTCTGCTCTGGGTCTACAAAAAGTTCCTGGAGCCGTATATATACCCCCTGATTTCCCCCTTTGTTAGTCGTATGTGGCCTAGAAAGGCAGTACAAGAATCCAACGATAAAAGCAAAGGCAAAGTAGACTACAAGGTAAGAACGTTAAAATACCTCCAATAAGGAAGGGTGGGTGAAGGGGGAGGTACAGTCAGGGCGAAATAAATACTCGGCTTTTGGAAAGGCAGGTTCTTGGAACTGGAAGCTTTATCGATGTGTTTAATTTCCTTCTTTTTAAAAATAAGGGGTTTTGGCTGCTTGATTTCTTTTTAACTGGTTTTAACTAAGGTTTGGTTTAAACTAAGGGTTTAAACTAAGGTTTTAAACTCTACTTCTGATTAATACATTTGTGCCTTGCCTTATGGCCAAGATAATAAGCAGTATTTACTGGCTGGTGAGAGTAATAATCAAATAGCTGATGGATGAGAAGAGATGATACAAAGATAAGCCAGTTTCGATAACCGATAACTTTGGTAGAGGACTTAATCGGAAGGATCGTAGACGGTTTTTAAAATTTTTTCTAAATAAATGTTTAGACAACAGGTTGTCTTTAGCATCAGTGCTTGTTATGTTCAGCTCCAGCTGTGTTCCGCTGCACTGCCAGGGGCGCCTGGCCTGTGGACCAGGGTGGCTGTGATTTCGGCCCAACCCATCTGGTTTTCGCTCATCTGGTTTTGTTAGTGTTTGCGTATTTAACGTGTGGCCCAAGACAACTCCTCTTCTTCAGCGTGGCCCAGAGATGCCAAAAGGTTGGACACCCCTGCGTGATCCTGCACATTTCTAGAAGCAGGTTTTTTTTTTTTTCATTCTGAAGTTTGTCAGCTGTTTCAAAGAGAATATCTCCTATGATGATATCTTTTTGTTGTAATAATCTCTAAAATGGTTTTTCATTTTAGGGTGGAGACATAAATGGATTACCAGCCAAAGGACCAATAGAAGTCTCTGATAAAAAGAAAGACTGAAGTGACTGTCCCAGAGGACCTCATTGTTTTCCAAATGGACCTAATAATTTGAAGCACCTTCTTTGTAATTGTCTCTGACGTTTTCTCTTAGACCAGAATTCAGGGTAGATAGTTTAGATGTTTACCTGATACTAATCAGGAAATACATGCTATTTATATTTAAAATGTATTTAGTTATATTTAATGACCTCACTTTTGAGTTTCTTTCTCAGTACAGAAGCTTTCTTTCCTATTACTGCAGTTTGAATATGAATAAATAGAAGGTTTATGCCAGACACTATTACTAAATCAGTCCTTAGGCTTCTAGATTTTGTTCAGGCTCTTTGAATTTAAGTAGAGAGAGTATATTGTTACCGTAAAGCCGTTTAGTGAGACTGTGGTGAAATGAAGGGGAGGTTTTGGAGATGATAGTGGCTCGACATGTAAGGTTATAATTACCGCCCAACACAGTGGAGCCCCTTATCTACAAGAATAGTCATTTCTGGTTGTTATGCTGAAGAAGTAGCAAAGACAAGAAGTAGAGGAAAATTTTTTGAAGAAAATGGGACACCTTGAACATAAATGTCTAATGCATATTATAAAATTCTAATCTTTGTTGGCATTCCTTCTGTTCCTACAAAATGTATTAAATAATTCAGTTTAGCTGTGGTTGTTTTTTTTCTCTTAAGTGCAAATATTTTTAAAAGGGGCTTTTTTTAAACCACATTAGAAAGCAGAATTTATGATAATGTGATGGTATTTGAATAGTTCTGAGATGACAACGTTTTTTTTTTTAAAGAGTAGATCATGTCACTTAATTTATTGTTAACAAGACACTGCTCATTGGTTCTCACCGACAGTGGCTAGTGGCGTGACTGTGCCGTTCTTTGCGGATCTGGGCCTTTACCCATGGCTTTTCACCCCTGGGCTGCTTCACTTCACGGACCTGTAAGTGTTCAGAGACAGTGAACCATGTCATTGTAGCCTGTTCATTTATTCCCCCGAGGCATGGAGAGTTCAGAAGGGACTTCTGCCTTTGTGTCCCTGGTGAAGCCCTGGGGTCCCACCCAAGGTTCTGTTAAGTTAGTTCTGTGTCTGATCAAGTCACTGATTCATCCTGGACTTCATTCGATAGCAATCAGTAGGTTTCAGCTTTCCTACCCCAACCTACCTGAGGGATCAGATGAATTCCCTTTAGCAACTAAATTCAGTAGGATTTTGTTTGTTATTTAAGATGTAAAAACTATACTATAAAAATAGCACATGTTCATAGTAAAACAATGCAACAAACTTAAGTGAAAAGTTAATATCATCTTACTAGTCTTGTTCCCTTATTCATCTATACAAATGTAACCACTATTAGTTGTTTTTTTTATTCCTCAATGGAGGATATGTGTATTGATTCCTGAGAGAGTGGAAGAGCGAGAGAGAGGGAGAGCATCCACATGAGAGAGAAACATCAATCGGTTGCCTTCGTAGGTGTCCTGACCATGAATCAAACACACAACCTGGGTATGTGTCCTGACTGGGAATCAAACCCACAACCTTTTTGATGCATGGGCGACACTCCAACCAACCAAACCACCCAGCCAGGGCTACTATTAGTTGTTTTTTGTAGCCTCCAGCAACTTTCTTAAAATTTATGTTTTTATTGAGTACATCATGTTTGAAAATCACAATATAGCAGATATATAATGTCCATACGCCCTTAGACCCCAAAGGCTTTGCTCACGTGGTTGCGCGTTGTCCTCTGTGTCGTCTCTAATGCACACCTGCTGCCGTCTTCGGAGCTGTCACCCGGAGCTGTCAGCCTGCCACGTCGCTGACCTTCTCCATGGCTGGGGCTTGGCACTCGTACACTGTGCTCCCTCTGCTTTGCCCGCACATCCTCCATATAAGTCTTGTAAATTTTGGTTAAGTCCTTGATCAGCGTCTGTGGATTATGAGCTTCTTCCATTTGCCACTAAATCCCTGCTCCTTTCGCCCTACTTTGCTGCCCAAGAAAGGTGCATGGACGGCCTCCACAGGCTTCCGTGGCCTCTGGAGTCTGTTGGGTTTGACCAGTGGGGTCTGCAGCAGCAATGGGAAGGAGGGAGGGAGGGAGGGGTGTTTATTCCCTTGGCTATGTCCCTGCAAGGCCTCTTCAGACCAGGTGTGTTCCCCAGAGTAGATCCACGTCAAGGTGGCCCACTCACTCCACCTGCCTCCATCCAGTTTCTACCCACCTCTCCCTCTCCTTGGCCTTTTGGGCTGGGGTGGGGGGATGGTAACACCTCACTACTGGCTCTGTACCATGTGATTTCTGGAACACTGACTGACAATGAGCATAGGTACTGCCTACCACGTAGATTATATGTGTTCTGGTGGCTTTCTCACACAGTGTTGCTTTCTGGGGTTAATGACCTTGAGTGGTTGATGCTCAGCGGCAGTATTTGGGACTTTTTCTTAGCCACTCCCATGTTGGGGCTCTTGTTCCTGAATCCCAACCTTAAACCTTCGTCTTTCTTGGTTTACTCCTTATTTATTTATTTTTTTGGTAGCACACCAGTTTTCTAATTCAAAACTGTTAAGAGTTTGTGTATTAATAGAGTTTGAGGATAATTTTGTAAAGATCCCCCAGCTCACTCCAGGTCATTTAAATCCACCTTCCCTGAGAATTGCAGGTCTTCTAAGGCCTTTTCCACTTCTTCTCTTTTTTAGGATTTTTACTTATTTTTAGAGGGAGAGAAACATCAATTGGTTGCCTCTTATAAACACCCCAACCATGGATGGAACCTACAACCCAGACTTGTGCCCTGACCACGAGTCAAACCTGCGGAAACCTTTCTCTCTGCAGGACAAGGCCCAGCCAACGGAGCCGCACTGGTCAGGGGCCCTTTCCGCTTCTCTCTCGAGCCCTGGTTCCCAATCATGTATTTTACATACCAGGAATATGTTGAAAAGCTGTAGTGTTTCCATGAAAGACAAGACACTTTGACACCAAAAGAGTGAAAAAGAACTTAAAGGATAACAGTAGCCCATTTGTTTGAGTAAATTTATGAAATATATTTTTATGAAAAATTCACTTCTTTGTCCATGTTTTTCTTTTTTCTTCTTTCTTTTTTTTTTCTTCTTTTCTTTTTTCTACAATCTGTCACTGCACATTTCAGGGTTGCCTTTCTAGTAAGAGTTACCGCCTGTTAAACATGTTGGTGCTGAGCAAAGGTATTTCACACATGTGATCTTATCTTATCCCTTATAAAACTTTGAAATACAGTCAAACAGGATCAAAGAATCTAAATATGTTACCCGGAGAGTCTAGGATGTCAAAGCCATACTTTCATGTTGTCTTCAAGTACTGACCACCCACGAGGTAGTCACAGCTGTTGACACCTTGTGAGTAAGACCTTGGTGGGAAGAATTGGGCAGAAATGGAGAGAGGGGGAGTTTGGACTAATCGCTGATGATGGATTTGTTTTACAGTTTTAATTTTGCTCACTTTGCAGTATGACTTTTTAACTTGCCTAGTTTTCAATAACTTATTTTTGCCTTAGTTAATTTTAACTGCATTTCCTGCCTCTCTTTGTGAGACAGGCTCATTTTCTTAGGTACTTATTGAAAGCTCACCTGAGAGACTGGTTTTGTCACTTTATTATTATTATTTTTCATTATTAAGCTGCTTTTCTAGTCAACAGGTGAGTCAGCACTTCCACAAAGTAGCCACCACTGATGTTTTGATCTAACAGACCAATAGAATTGAAAAGAAATTGTAACCACTAATTTTAAGCCTCCCAAGCTCTAAAGCTACATTTCCTGGGTTCACTCAAAATCAAAAGGAAGGAAGGGAGGGGAGTTTCCTTGTGGTTTCCTCCCCAAGTTGCTACTGGCTGTTCAGTCCTCAAAGCCATGTTCATTTGCATGGCGGCAGCTCCACAGGGAAGAGGCAGAGGCGGTGGGCAAACTCGTCTAAGTGAAGCAAGAGGTTGAAATTGAGAAGAACTGTAATGAACTGTGAGGGGCCAGTGTGTAACAGCCACCACAAAATACACTTAACACTCCAAATATTAAGCTTATATGGACCTTTGGGTACATCTAGCCCAACCCTCTCATTTCTACGAAGGGCAGAAAATGTTTAAAGACATAGCCTAGATGCGGAGCAAGGCGAGAGTGGAGTCTCCTGCAGGGCCGCTGCGTGCGGTTGTGCTGGGTGTGCGTTGCCCAGTGGGCATCCCTCCCGTGGACGGCAATGTAAACGGTGCCTGTAGGCCCACACGCCGCACACCCACTACCATACACAGGTTCTGCTGCTTGCAGTTCAGCAAGTGAAGCTTCTTACTTCCTTAGTGTATTTATTTTGTGTTGCTGCAGAACAAGTGACAGAAAACTTAGTGGCTTAAAACAACGCAAATTGTCTCATGGTTTCCGAAGGTCAGAAACCCGGGGTTGGAATGGCTGCATTCTCTGCTCAGGATTTCCCTGGGCTGAAATGAGGATGTTGTCTAAGTGGGTCTGCAGTTCTCATTGGGGCTTCCAAGCTCACTGGTCGTGAGCAGGATTCATTTCCTTGAGGTTGCAGGACTGGAGTGTCCCTGTTTTCCCTCTAGTTGGGGGGGGGGACGACAAGGGGGGCTCTCAGCTCCTGCAGGCTGCCAGCTGTTCTTGGCATGCGGCCCCCGTGGGCAGCTCACCCGGATTTTCACCTCCTTCCAGGGCACCCAGAGCACATCTTTGACATCTATCTAATCTGAGATGAGCAGAGAAGGTTCTCTGCTTTTAGAAGTGCTCATGTGATTAAATCAGACCTACTTACATAATCTCTCTGTTTTAAGGTCAACTAAATTGTGACCTTAATTATAATTGCAAAATTTCTTCCCAGAAGTTCACCTTTGATTGATGTTTGGGAGAACACCAGTGGCCAGGAACCAGGAGGTAGTGGGGGCATCTTGGAAGTTTGTCTACCACCTCTTTGCTGACTGATGCTTCTAGTCCTTCAGTTACTCGGGAATCCACTTGGATCTGAATTGCATGGTCTCCACTTGTCAAATGCCCCAGGCTTCACTGATAAGCTCTGAAGGGTTTATAATCTTGAAATTTAAACTGCTATTCGGGATAGCCTTTTCTGCTCCCATGTCGGGTGGCTAGAAATCATTTCAGATGACGGCAAGAGGAAGCAGTTAAGGAATGTGTTTCACAGCAGGCAGCTCATAATCATGTGGAAATATGTTTCATCAGGGAAATGCAATTTCAAACCCAAATGGAACACTCCAGAGTGGTAAAAATTAAAGATCAAGTGTTGGAAGGGTGAACAGAAAGGGTTTGTATCTGTTGCCAGTGGGAGTGTAAATTGGTAGAACTTTGGAAAAAATTTTGGTACTACCTGATAAACATGCACCTGCGAGTCTTCTGGGACTGAGCCCTTAACCTGTGAAATCTGATGCTGTCAGAGGGGAACACCCCTCTCCCCACACTGGAAATTGGCCCAGCACCCTTGGAGCCACATTTAAATACCACACCCTCAGGGAAGCCTTGCTGTTCTCCCTTTCAGAGGGTCTGTTGCCCCTGGTAAGAGGGGAGCTTGCACTACAGAGAGCTGGGTACCTAGTGTGTCTTTCACAGGATGGTGAGCTCCTTGCAAACAGCCACCTCCCACAGTGCCTTGCAGATACATTTGCTAAATGTTTTGG